TTTTTTTGTCTTTTTTTCAAATACTACATAAACATATCAAGTGAGACTCCTTATGGAAAATAACGATCGGATTTGGCTGAAATAGATTCATAAAAATGATTAAATCTAAGATAATCATCGGTATTTCTACCTGTCTGACCAACATTTTGTTCAGGGATTTCCCTCTACTAGCGCATGCGCATTGCACACCATTTCTTTGTAAACAAAATGACTGACCGTGTGAAGTAAGCCAAAGAAAAGAGTTGTACCGTGTCAGCTACGAAGCGAAAAGTTGCCAAATGGTCAAAAGATAGCGCACGGAGTACGTTACGGAATCATTATTACAGGTGGGAAGTATTCAAAGGAGAAAACAACTGCCCTAGCAGTTAGTATGGTACATGTATTCTTCCGGATAGCCAGGCCAGTTAAGCTGAAATGGAATCGACAGAAATGCTAGCGCTGTTTATGCTATGAATAAATATCTAAAACTGTTAACCTCGCGAGTATCTTTGTCTGAGTTTGAACACAGATGAACTTAGTTTAATATGTCAATGGGCATGTACGTATCGGAGAGAGTTTACTTTGTGTTTCTATAATTATACAGTGGTTTATGCGAAAGGAAGGGATAAGTGACTGGTTAGTTTGATTTTGTCATGAGGCCCTCCAAGGGTTAACTGTTGTGATAGCCACGGCGTATTCTGTCTCTGTCGGTACTCGTGATCGGGGTCAAATGAGATACGTGCGCTTTTAGATTTACATAATTTATAATATTACCGGGTTCAGTAAAATGATATGATTTAAGTATATTGCTGAATTAAACGATTTTTTGTTTGTTTTTACATACAAGATTTGAATTAGTACTAATATGAATACCCGGCTTCCTCTGGCGCAACGACGCAATATATATAAGAAAAATCTCTCGTCGTCGGAAAGCTACATTATCGCAGCTATAGAGTAAAAATGTCAAAATGACGGGCCAGGATGAATAGCTGAGGAAGGAGAACCTACTTCTAGTAAATAGGATCGCGTAACATTTTTTTTTTAAATCGTAATATTTCAACAGTTCATGTTTTCATATGTTGTTGACTTAAAATGTATGATCATGTAACAACCTTTTCTCTATAAAGAATTAATCTTCGACTTCAGATAGAATCGGAATACGTATTGAAAACAGGGGAAGAAACATTTGTTTACGTTGTAAAAATGACGCGTGCTGCCGATAACTACGGCTTCTGTTTCGGACAAAAATGAAATGATTAAAGAAAAATTGGCTCAACATAAAAAGGGTCCATTGACAAGAATGCTTTAATCTATGAAAAGTATTGAAAAAATATAATTATCAAGTAGCCAATATCTGACACATATTCTACATGTACACGTA